TAGAGTCTCTTTACTCTGTCTGGAAGGGGAGAGGTGCTTCTCCAGCTGGAACGCTACTGTCTGCATCTGAGAAGATCATGATCCTGTTGCTGCATGTTGATGTGGACCATCATGTGCTACACGTGCAATAAAGCTGTGAAATAGTTAAAGTGGGCTTTAAAATTAGCTAACATATATTGCATATTGTTGTGTGACTTCCATTTGTTTCTGACTTATGATAACTCTAAGGTCCTATCACAGAATTTTCTTAGCAAGATTTGTTCAGTTTGCATTTGCCTTCCTGTGAGGCTGAGAGAGTGTGACTTGCCCAAGGTCACCCAGTGGGTTTTCATGGCTGAGAAGGGATTCAAACCCTAGTCTCCAGAGTTTTAGACCTACCTAGTCCAGATGCACCAAACAAAGATGTGCATGGCCAATGGGATGTCCAATCACTAAACCCCTCACCAGTCTTCTACAAATTCATGCCACTGCATTAGCATGCTGTTGTGGCTTGAATGTTGTACTGAAATCCCAGGGTTTGAATCCCCACTCAGCCATGGAAACCCACTGGATGACCTAGGGTAAGTCAACCCCCCTCTGAACAAATCTTGCCAAGAAGACCCTGCAACTGATATGTCTTAGGGTCACCAAAAGGCAGCAATGCATTGAAAGCACTCAACAACAATTATAGATAAGGAAAAGTAACAAAAATGTAAACATCTTACACTATCAAGGACATGAAATGGGGTAGTAAATCTCAACATCTCCAGTAAGAAAGTAACATTGTGGATGTCATTTCCAAAGTCCTGCAGTCCTGAAATGTTTGCTTCCTGTGTTGTCTGAATATGAAGGGGGATGTTCTGTATGTCAAATGAATTTAATGCCAGGGACAAAAGAGAATGGCTTCAAAACCTGCTTTAATACATAACTACTTACTTAATGAGAATATAAGACTTAGAACATGCTATACAAAACAGCCTAACTGTTCACAGCTGATTCTAGTTGGCTCTCTAAGGAGTTTATCACACAGTGAGTCCCATACAGAAATCCTGCTTTAAGTAGAAAAAAAACGCAAAAGCGGAAGCAATTTATTAATGGGATTCCCCAGTGTGAAAAGTGAAAGCGATGTTAAAATGGGATTAATCCGAATGGAAACTGCTTCTTTTTACTTTTGGAAAAACCCAAAAGTAAAAAGAAGCAGTCAATGAGGGGTTTCCGTTCGATTAACCCCTGTTTAACCTCCTTTTAATACTGACATCATCTGAAAAAACATCCGCTTTTGTGGTTTTTTTCTACTTTAAACCCCCGTTTCTGCACGGGATTTCCCCCGTGTGATAAACTCCTAAGAAAACCACACCAGTTTAGAAAGGAGGAGTTGCTATTGCAAGCCAAACCTGCTTCTTAAAGAGACAGTTCGTGCATGCTACAGTTCCAGTCTAACTCTATAGTAGAAAAAGGCACCAGCCTACAACTCCTCCTCTACCTCTTTTTTCTTTTCTGAAGGTAGTTTTCTTTACCTTTAAACAGTGAAGGAGGGAAACACAGAAAGGTATTTACCTGTAAGGGCTTTACACTCCAATCCCTTTGGGGGGAAACACAGGGATACCTATACATCTCTAGTAAGGGAGAGCCAGTGTGGCATAGTGGTTTCAGTGTTGGATTACAACTCTGGAGATCAGGGTTCAATTCCCAGATCAGCCATAAAACCCACTGGATGATCTTGGGCAAGTCACATGCTCTCAGTCTCATGGGAAAGCAATGGTAAATCTCCTCTGGACAAATCTTGCCAAGAAAACACCATGATAACACCATGATAGGTTCGGACTTAGGATCAGTATAACTTGAAAATGACCCAAAGATACACAACAACAAGTAAGAACAGAGGGCACTGATTCTTTCTTGTTTTCTCAGACTAAGCACGGTGGTCACCTGAGGAGGCACAGTTCACAAGGATCTCAGAAGCAATATACAAATCCAGTTTCCTGAATTACTCTCCTATGTAATCTGTAAATGTGCTTCAGAAAACTTCATGGCCTTTGAAAGAATTCTGGGAGTCACTCCTCACTATATATGTCAGTCCATTTATCCACTGACCAATGCTTTGATTGGAGTAGATCCACATGTCTACCATTTAAACACCACTGTAGTGTACAGTCTAATTACATATGTGTCTTCTACGCAGCATTCAGTCAAGGGTTGAAAAATCTTGGGATTTGTCATTTTAAAATGACCTTTTCCTAAGCACCACCAATAGATTAAAACAAATATTTCTTTGTCCTTGCATGGCATTCCAAACCTTCTGCCTCAGGCAGCAATCATGGTAGGGATGTCTATGTTCCCAACACAAACTCTAAAATACTTGTTAATCTTTTTTCTCCTTCAGAAAGTTTGGAGGGGGAAATGTGAGGTGTAGGTGAAACTTAAAGCTTCAGACACAACTGCCTTCCTCTAAGTGTGAAAGGCATCTTTGATTAATGATGTCCTATACCTCTGCTAGCATTACAAATCTTGAGTAAATATGCCACTAGGACATTAATGTGTGGGATGTGGGCATATAGAATAGGCTGCATATTCAGGAAACACTGAAGAATTTCCATGGGCCATGGAGCAGAAATCTAATGATCTTCATCCTTCTGTCATGCACACTTTGCAAATGGACTTTGCACAGAGATGCAAGCGGTATTTGAACATAATTTACCTCTTTGGCAGGGCTCTTAAATCCTTTGACAACATTGCTATTGCTTGTAATAGCTTGAAAGAGGTTTTTTCGCAATGCCTTATTATCATTATCTATTTTTCAGCATATTTCATTTTAGTTATTGGTTAAATCCATTAATAACTTAAAGAAGGGAAGCCTCTACTCATCAGCAGTAAGATGCATCATCGCAAATTTTAATGATAGCAAAGCTCTGGGTTGCTTTTTCTCTCTCTCTTATGTTACGGTACTATTTGCATTTCCTTATGCACTTTATATTTGGAGGGTGATAGCTTCCACTTTCAACTACTACTAGTGGAGGTTTTTGGGGAGTTTTTTTGCAGGATCAAATGCAATATAATATTTGAACTAAACTATTGCACTGCGATTCCTGAAAAGGCAAATGTAAAGATGAAAACCCACAGTGACTGCAGAAGCTTCAGAGTACAGCATTCATATTAGCTGTCTGTGACCTCTGAAAATGTAGTAATTGATGGCTCATGTCTAATGACATTTCCATGATCATCTTCCTAACACTCCCTAATTTCTTTGTGATTACATCGGACTCCAGTGACAATGAACAACAATTTATTAACAAATACTTTAGCAGATGGTGGAAGGGGCCATAACTCAGCAGCAAACTCTATGCTTTGCATGCAAAAGATCCCATGTTCATTCCCTGGCATCTCCAAGTAAAAAGATTGGGTAACAAGTGATGAGAAAGATCACAGCTAGTAACTTCGGAGGAGCTGCTGCCACTCAGTACAGACAATGCTGATGTAGGCTGCATCTGCACTTCAGAAATAATCCAGTTTGACACCACTTTAACTGATGTGGCTCAATGCTATGGAATTCTGGGAACTGTAGTTTATTGTGGTACCAGAGGTCTCTCACAGAGAAGGCTAAATGACTCAGAAAACTATAATTCCCATAATTCCATAGCATTGCATAATGGCAGTCAAAGTGGTATCAAACTGAATTATTTCTACAGTGTGGTTGCAGCTCATTTAGACAAATAGACCCATATTTAACATTGCCTACCTAGTCATATTTGTTGTTGTCGTTAACTGCCTTCGCATCAATCTCGACCCATGGCGACCCTATGGATGA